GTCGCGTGGTGCAGCCGCAATTCCAACTCTGTTCGAACCCGAGCCGTTTCCGCTGCTCTTTATAAGTAAGCAAATGGTTGTCAACTTTTTGAGGCAGTATAACTGATGTGCGCTCAGCATGTTTGTGCAGGTCTCCGGAATTGTATACTCAAACATCTATCGCGCCGACGACGCACCCGAATGTAAATTCCCATAAAAGTCTGCAATTATAGTATGTTATGCTAACAATATGTTCAGACCGGCGAGGTAACAAGCAGCTGGTGGCGATTTGTGCTGGGAATCTCGGCATTTACGCTTTAACCAAAGTTTACTACCTTTGGCGCAATAAAAGGCGTGAGAATAAATGGAATGCTATGACAAGAGAGGTATGATATACCTTCCCTCGGTGAAGCTTGCATTACTAATTGTGCCAGCAACAACATGACTACCTCGAAACCACGAAAGACTCGGGCAGTAAGAGGCTCGATTTTCGTTTTGCCCATTAGAAGCTGAACACCAAACATCTTCGGCTACAACTTCAAGGAGCTCACCTCAAAGAACACTCTACAGCACACCTCTTTTTGTGAGGTGTCAAAAACATCTTGAATATGGCATTTGATTAGTAAAGATGAGATGTGTCATAGGAGCTGTGGATATAGAGCTGCATGTTGTATCTTCGCAATTATGACCATGGTGCACTCAACGAAGCCGCCAGTCTCTCTTCCGATTCGATTCCGATTGTTATATAGAATTGGTTGCGACATGCTTGACGCAGGCTTCATAACTATGCTAGATAAGACGAAAGCCCAGCCTCGCTTTACCAAGTTGTCCTCTACACACCTGCCTCTACCTAATATAAGTGTGGTGACCTGATCAAGTAAAAGACATGTCTAGCGTAACGAAGCTTTCTTTCCTAAAGAGAAATGTTCTTGATGCACTTCCGTTATACCGGCAATTGAAGCTTCGTAGAATCCCAATACGCTAGTTGCATGATCTGGAGTTTGGCCAGAGCAATTTTTTGTGCATGGACAACGGAATCGTCTCCGTCAACTTTTAGAGATTCAAATGCGGCTGCCATGGCTCTCCATCCCACGTATCTCCTCTCGCCCCATGGATCATCCTGACTAATCTCCTCGTCTTCTTTCATCGTTCGCACCGCCCAGCCATCTAGATCATCGCAGATGGCAAGCTTCATGTCTTCAGCATTCTTATTTGCGGCATTTGAAGTAGTAAGAGGTTCCCAAGGCTGCTCTCCATTTGCAAAGAGTATCCAACGGCGGGCAGTCTCCCGAGCTTGTCGAGCCGCCCAGTGGTTGCGATGGGTAGGATATCTATCTAGCAGTGTCAAGAAGATGTAGAGTATCTCGACAAAGTGGTGGCCAGCCACAAAGCTGTGAGAGCTGCCAGGAAAGGGATTTGACAGAGCAAAGGAATAGCGGTAAACATTGCGTTGTTTACCTTCGTAATTAACCAGGAAGTCAGTAAACATGGAATACCCAGTAGAAAACATCAAATCTCCCATAAAAAAAGAAATCTTTGTCGAAGCTTGATTCGTATCCATCTCTTCCACTTTCGAAAGACCATACGCTGCCAATAAAGTATCTGAATGGGGGAATATTGATTTTACAGTCTCTGTGAATCGGAATTGCGGTAGGTGCTTCAGTAGTGGAAAGAAGACATAGCCTTCCCAGAAGTCTTCTCCTATGACGAGATCACCTAGCCAATCACAAGCTGTGATGAGTTCGAACTGGCTCAGAACTGTTGCTGGCCCTCTACTGAATAAAGAATCCTTGGTCTCGACTCCAGGAACGGGGCCCATGTATGGAATAAGATGTATGGCGGGAACTTGAACGAGTGCTCGAGCGTCAACAGTTCTCAAAGCAGTCAATCTTTCTGAAGCTGTTGATCCTTGAATGTCAAAGTGCTTTAACATAGCACGGTACTCGAATTCCTTGGTCTCGATGGGGGCATCACCGATTATCAAGCCAGATTGTAATATAGCGCGGTCAAAAAGCTTCGTAGCTGAACCACATATATGATATGTAAGAAAAACGCTGCCAGCCGATTCTCCAAAAGCTGTGATGTTTGATGCATCCCCGCCGAATCCGTCAATGAATTCGGCAATCCATGCGAATGCATTCCGCTGGTCTTGAATAGATAGGTTGAAGGGCCCGTGGGGACTAGACGGAGGCGAGGCCTGAAACTCGTCCACAATATCCTGGCAAACGAGGCTACCAAACCAACCTAAGCGATATCCGATATTGACGGTGATTACAGGTTTCGATATCGAGGCTGCATAGGACGTGATGGGTGCATTCGAATGGAGGCCGTCAACATGAGCAATACCTTCTTCCCCACCGCCACCATGAATGTAGACCATGACGGGTAGCTTCGTCGTACCTGGTGGAGTAAGATGTGCTTCGGGAACTGAGATCGTCGCCGTGAGACAGGTAAACTCGTCATACTCTACACCAACATCGTCTTCTAGCATCCCGCCGTATGCTTCAAAGAAGCCAGGCGTCTCTGGGCCTATTTGCGGACATGCTGCGCCGAAAGATGTGAAATCTCGATGCGGTCTGCTATCGAAGCCATTGGGAATCTCAGTCAGACAGAGCGACGGCGAGAAGCGCTTTGAAATGGTCGCATAAGGAATCGAACGGAATTGAATCACTGGGGACCCTGAAAAGTGCTTCGAATGGACAAGGCGGCCTGTAAGGTCCCCGAGTTGAGGATGCGGGAAGGTGTACCTAGGCCCGCTGTAATATGGTTTACTCATGATGAAGCTTGTAAGAAGGCCAAGATGATGGGTCTAGTTCTTTGACTTTAGTTGAAAGCAATGTCTCGTATATATAGACAATTTCGATATGACCTAAGACTGCTCATGTGACGTCTGTTTGTAGACTATCGCTAAATGGAGCATGTGGTAGATTTGTGGACATGTCGAGGTTGACGCACTGGGAAAAAATGGAATAGTTAGCTAGCCAAGTGAAATGGCAGATCATGCGGTGTAGGAGCTGGGGCAGGCCGCGGAGTAACGCACAAATTCGTACATTACCGACCGCTGCAACTGTGTGCATGTCTGATGGATGACGAGCCGGTTATGCTTGCCCTTGGGGGTGAAAAAACTCGCAGTTTCGGATGGCGGTTCTCCGTATCAAAATTGCCGTTAATTCACACCCTTCCCCCGCCTGGAATGATACACAATCAATTGCCTGCCTGTGAGAATCTATACTGCCGATTCCCACGATTCGGATTACCGATGTTGAGTCTCTCTTATCTCGAATAAAAGGATTTTTTCCACAAGATATTCCTAATTCTGCCAGTTGGCTCAGCGGCAAATTTATGGTCTGAGTAGCTTAACGGGGCGCCCTGCCCGGAGACCTAATATGCTCCGATCTGTGGTCCTTGGCTCGATCATCTTTCGGACCGGACATACAAGTACATAGTGCACAGAACCAGCCGGTTGAAAGTGAGCTCCAGTAAGTACTCGGCAGCGCAGTACAGTATATATGTTGCCTATTCTGAAAAGAGTCTTCGGTCCCTTTCCTGGCCATGACCCAACTTCCCAGCACAATACATTAATTAGTCCAAAGCTGCGATGACTAGAATACGCCTTATCTTTCCAATCACTGTAATTCATGTTCTTAAATCTCTACTGTTCCACAGCCTTGATTTTCGACTCTCATACTCTATAGCAGTATGGTACTTTCTACAGATATCCCCGCCCTATCTTTACTACGGCCTCCCGTAGCATCGGCGGCATTCTGGTCATATAATACTGCTGTAATCACAACGTTTGCTGCCCTTCAGCTGATGAATCCAGTCGCTGGTAACCTTGGGACCAGGGTGCTTTCGTTCTCGCCGGGTGTTTCTTCGTGACTCTAGTCTGCAGCCACTTCTGTATCTCTGGAACAAAATCTCTTCCAATAGCCGAGATAGAAAAGACCTACCGGATTAAATTGCAAAGCGGCGACAGAAATATCACAAAATGATATCAATGTAAATGCCTCAAAACTCGCTGAGCTAAGCCAAGCATGTCTGTCTGGGCTTAGTAGGGAATTTCTACAGCAGCTACGGCAGTGTCTAGTAATCTAGTGATGCTGGGTCATAGTTGAAATTCCAAAAGAATGAAAGAGGCGCTGACATCTTGCACGAAAGGTAGCTCGACTAATGAGGAGTCACTGTGAGCAAATCCAGGTGATTGCATTTGTGTTGAAGATGCCTCCATGGACGTGGAGATGGAGCTTCATTATCTTCCCCATTTGGAAGACCCCGACCGCACCCAATTCCGAGTCAGTTCGGAAGCAATCATATCCGGGGCGGGCACCTCTGGTTCCCTTCTCGATTCATTACGTAGTTGGGTGTTGGATTTATTGATAAAATGCGGGAGGACCCTTGATTTCGTCATGGTGGACGACTCAGTTCCCGTCCTCTTTATACAAATCATTCTGGCTGCACATGGACCCGAGTCTCTGGTAATACAGACGTTGAGCCCGCCGATCTTTATGTCATATTGGATCAATGCAGGAACAGCAAAACTCTAAAAGTGATCTGCGATGTCATCTCCTTCATTGTTCTGGAAGATGTGCAGCGAACTCTAAATCCAGTCTTATGTCATGGCTAATTGTACCAGCACGCGTCGCTGAACTCTATTTCTGGCGGCACTAACCGGATATGGACACCAGGTGAGAACCAGCAATGCGTTGCTGTGGTACGCAACGTTCTGCAGATCAAGACATCTCGATAGACTGCCGTGTGAATGATCGTGATTTATCACTTTGCAAAAGATGTGCGATTTTAAAGATGATAGGATTGAATTGCTGGTCTAATATAGTCTATCTTGGTGGAAGTGCAGCGCGAACAGAACCATGCCCAAAACAACCCCTATAATCATACAAACAAGTTCCGTAACAGGACTTTTACCACCTCAATCGATAGACGGCGTGATTTTCCCATTCGATCGTAACATTCATAACAAGCTCGAGTGACGCTGATTTGCATTTTGCACGCGCTCGACGCGTTTAGAAGGGCTTCTTGCCAACACTGCGGAATTGGTTAGCACGAAGGTTTGATTGTCAGACATGGCGCATCGCTAGTCACTCACTAGTTTCCGGGAGGGCTGTATCTTGCGACAACCCACCACGCTCCGTTGGAGTCTTTATAGGCACCCATACCGACCTTGGTCGTTGTGTTCCACATGCATTGCGCTGAAGAATTCCAAAATTAGCTTTCGCGTTTTGACTGACAAAAGACGCGCTGTGACTTACTGTAGTGACCGTAGGATGAGAATGCACCCTGAGGGATAGCCTCGTGGTGATAGTAAGGCGCCTCCTTCATCCACGCGACGGCAGCGTCAGTGTAAGGCTTGGTGCCGGCAGACTCGTAAAACAGATTCTCGCCTCCAACGCCTGAGTGCTGGAGTCTCTGGAGCGAACCGAGCTGCTGGGCGTAGGCCGTAGCTTGAGAAGCAAGAGTTGCATCCCATGCAAGGGCTCGGATCTTGCCAGTAGCCCTTCCATTGTTCTGCATGGTAAGACCACCGGTTTGATCAGCTGTAAGAGCCCGAGTCTCAAGCTCTGCTGAGGGTGCAGCGGTAACGTCTGCTACCAGGACGGCAAGCGTCGTGACGATGGTGGTGAGTCCGAAGCGCATTGTTGCTGATGATGACTTGGTAGATTCTCAAGTGTATGTTTCTCGTATGTGAAGAAAATTCGTGATGTGAATTCGTGAAGTCTTTTAAGTGAAATTCTTGCTGCAAGAGTTGTATGTATGTGATACAATGATGTGAGATATAAGTAATGATCGTCAATGACAACCAGGGGGATCGTCCCTTGTTCTTTATAGTCGAGATGCTGATCTAGAAGCCGCATGAAACGATTCCCACCTTCGTCATCAGAAACTTAAAACTGAGGCTCTCGACAATAGCTTTGCCACCGAGGTCTAGGTCTAATCCCAAGTCCTGACGTCCTTATATGTCAAGAGGAGATCTTATCCGAGACAGGGGTCCTCTTCATGACTCGATACCGCTTCGTGGAGTTCCCATGTGCTTGGCACCTTCCCAGCATTCCAGCCACGACAAAGGCAGGCTAACCGTCCCACACGAGCCTCCGCAAGCAGCGTTTCGAGTCATGGAATGTACTGTCTAACACATCTGCGGACATTGTGCGAGTCCTTCGCCCAGCAATTTGGTCTAGGCCTGCATCTTGGTGTCTCG